AAAGGATGAGAAACACCTCCAAGTCCAGGCAGTCGCCAAGTACTATGGACCGCAAACCCGACAAGGAATCCTGGGGATCCTCAACTCTCCATGATCTGTCGGCTCATCTCGATAAAATCCAAGCTTACATCTCCATCCTGGAGCTGCAAGCCTGTTCACTGGCACATAATGCCAAAATTGAGAAAGTCCTTGCTAAGACACATATCCCAAGCAACATTCGACCAGAAGAGCTAAGTGGGATGATTAATCAATTAACAGCACCAACGTCGATCATGTTCACCGATGAAGACATCTCAGCCAGCTTCGATCGTTTTCATGTCCAACCACTGCATATCACTGTCTTCATGCAAGGATATGAGATATGGAGGGTACTCATTGAGAACGGGGTCATCCTTAAACATATGTCCTATGAAAACAATGCGACAAATAGGCATGAAACCCGAACGACTTTGAGCCATGCCAGCTAAATATCGCCGCATATAATAGAACCAAAAGACAAGCAGAAGGTATACTACCGCTCACTCGGAAGATCGGTCTTGTTGTTCAAGTAATAAGGTCTTATGTCCTAGACATAAAGCCTTCCTTCAACATGTTGTTGGGAAGGCCATGGCTGCACGAGAACCTTGTTGGGCCTCTACACTCCATCAATACCTTAAATTTCCCACGAAAACCGACATTGCCAAGGTATGCGTTGATCTTTCCCCTCTTTCAAGCTCTAGAATAGGAAACGGAAAGTTAGTCGTAGGAGCTAAGCTCGGAGAAGTCCCGCTCGTTTCCTTCGAGTAAGCTGATTGCATCACCTTATGCTTAGATGTCGGTGACCCAATTCCTCAAAAAACAAAAAATAAATTCTAAAAATATAGGTGCGACACACCTTGTGTCCCCCCTCCCCCCCCCAAAACTATGCGGCAGGCATTGTATTGTACCAAAAAATCAAATTAAAAAGTAGTGGGGCGACACACCTTGTGTTGCCCCCCCCTCCCAAAATGTGCAACACACATTGTGCCGCACAAAAATATAAAAAAATAGTGGGGTGACACACTTTGTGTTGCCCGCACCAAAGTGTGTGACACAACCCATATTGCACAAAAGAAGGCATGAATACCCTACAGGTGGCAGAAACAATGGTGCATTCTCAATACCTCTAATTATCCAGTCGAATGATGACAATTCATCAAGTGTTCTACAATAATAGTTGACATCACGAGGCCAGATAGTATCATTGATATACGCTAACCCGAGGGCAGCAAACAAAGAAGTGGTAGATCGAGGAGGGAAGACGACTAAACTATGCTCATAAGCCCAAATCTGTGAAAAACACAAATCAGAAGGTTGCAAAATTCACAAGGACCGAAGTACCAGAAATAATGTGCATACAAGATAGCATGTCTTGGGCGACACACTTTGTGTCACCCAGACCTGTCTTGGGCATCACACTTTGTGTTGCCTAGACCCACTTGAGCGACACACTTTGTGTTGCCCCAAACACAATGCCTCAAAACTCGCAAAAACTTTTGAAATTCCAAAAGCAGTAAGATTTAGTCAAGAAAAAGAAAAAGTCCAGAGAATGTACCTACAGGATTATGACACTCCCTTCAACAAAAAGATACCACGGTAGATGCCCGCCAACATCGCCGGAATAATGGTATACCCTGCTCTCTCCCAAAAAGCATGAACCAAAGGGATGAGACCAATTCGATCAATCTTCTGACCACTAAGGAAGATAACCGATCCAAGAAGCACGAAAATAAAAATTCTGATTTGGGGCACCGTGTAAGGGGAGACAAAAAGTGTGTCACACAAGAGGGCCTAAACGACACAAAGTGTCACCCAGTATGAGACAACTCTCCCGAATGCCCTTTTTTGGTATGTTTGTCCATGTGACTTTTACAACCTTCTTATTTCTGTTTTTCGCAGATATGGGCTTACGAGCATATTGCAATTATCCGCCCTCCTCTACGTACCACTATTGTGTCTGCTACGCTCGGGTCAGTATATATAAATGATACTACTCGGCCTCACCATGTGAACTATTGTCGCAAGATCCTCGATGAGTTGTCATCATTTGACTAGGTGATTCGAGGTCTTGAGAATGCACCCTTGTTTCTACCACCTATGGGGTATTGTTGGCTTCTTTTTGTAGGTCACCACTTTACTGAGGGTTATTTTCTCCAGAGGGTGCTTCGACAATTTAGATATATCCAAAATTACACATCCCTTAGAGAAACCATTGACTGTCGCCCCATATTTCCCCTTAAGCGACACTCTTCCACCCTTCTTATAGAGCGAGTTTATCGTGGAAGGGGAAGAAAGTCTTCTTCTGATGAAGGGCTAATCAAGAAAGATAGGCCCATGACCACTTCCAACTACAATTCTTGGTGGGAGCGTGCTTGTCCCCTTCCCTTGTGTCCCCAAGCCCCAAAGTCTCGAGGTGAATCCTCGGCCCCTGCTAAAAACCTCGTAACTTCCCAAGACGCTAATGCATCTTCTTCGAACAAACGAGCTAAGTCTAGTGAAGACGTGACTAAAATCAGCCTGGAGAAGGCAAAGGTTGAACTGGCTCGATGGGAGGCCTTTGTGGCAGCTCTCAAATAGAAGGAAAGTGAGCCCAAATCGAAGACTTAGTCATACGACCCTTTCATTTTTTTTTTTGAGAATAAATAAATAAATAAAGGGGGTCATAGGACCCCCTTTTATTTTTTTCTTTTTTTTATGTTTTGATTAGCAATAAGATGTGGACATGATCTTATGATCATTTTGATTCTCAGCATTTTTATTTCTTTTAAGTCTGTTAAGACAGTAGGAAATTTGGCCGTGTTGATGCATGTAATAAATCCATGTTGAATGGATGAATAAAGTTTCAGTTTTCGAGAAATTCAAGGTTCTAGAGAATTTTCTTTTAAGTTCTGATGAATTTTTAGAGGTTCTGAGAAATTTCTAAAAAAAATTTAAATTTCTCTCTTGATTTTCAGGCTTGCGCAAGCCAGATTATCTTTGATTTTTGAGAGTTTTAAGGTTGTATAAATTTTATTTTGAGGTTTGATGAATGGTCAGAGACTCTGGAGCCTTTCTAGGTTTTTTTGGATGGTTTTAATGCCTACAACACAAGGTGTGTTGTCAGCTTTGGACTGGGCAAAACAAAGTGCCGCCCAAGAAAACCGTTTTTTATTATTATTTTCTGCAACACTTTGTGTGTCGCACATGTTTTGTGGGGTGACACATTTTGTGTCACCCATTTCAAAAAAAAAATTTATTATTATTACTTTCTGCGACATTGTGTGTCACTCATGTTTTGTGGGGCGACGCGCTTTGTATCGCCCATTTTAATTTTTCTTTTTTTTTTCTACGAGAGTATGTGTCACAGATGTTTTGTGTTGCCCTTTACATTTGTTTTTTTTTTGGGACACAAAACGTGTTTTGGTCTAGCGACAGATTGTGTCGCAAGTTTTGGCGGGTCTGTTTTGGTCTAGCGACATAGATTGTGTCGCAAGTTTTGGTGGGTGCGACTCAGATCCATCTTCTTCTTCTTCTCCTTCTCATATGTAGAGAGAGCACATGGACCCGAGAGAGAGAGAGAGAGAGAGAGAGAGAAGGGCAATACCAAGCATTATTTTTGCTTGGGTGGTTTTGAATTTTTTCTTTTGCCACTTAGGCGCCTGCCCTGAGCCTGCCTAGCGCCCCCTTAAGCCCACTTAGGCACGCCCTTGAGCCCACCTTGACCGCCTAGGTGCCTGCCTAAGGCATGCTCGCCCAGACCCCACCGCCTAGACTATGCCAAGGTGGTCTGAATTTCCATTCATTGATATATATCAACTTTCCCAATGCCAAACAGTTGAAAATACTAGCACCACAATTTCTCAAACAAGGTCCACAGCTTTCAAGCTACCAATTTTCATCTGCTTCCCAAAATCTAGGAAAGTTAGCAGCAGGGATTTTCCACAATAAACTGAAGTTATCAAACGCCACCTAAGGCACTCACTAACTTACCCAAATACCAGTCAGGCTACATATTCAAAGGTGGAATCCGAAATATGGCCTGTAACATCAATATTTATTGTTTAATAATATTTTAAACTGGATATAAGTTTCAGCAGGCTAATTTCCCAAGTATCACAAGAATATAAGCCAGGTTATTCAATAGAATATATCAATTATTAGTGTCAAAAGGGCTATTGTGTCTTTTTGTTTTTTAATGGTTATGATACCTCATTGAAGTGAAATTAAATCTACAAGTATAAGCATACGAAAAGGGAAACACCATCCATCTCCTTCAAATCCTATATTACCTCACACAAACTGAACAAGATGGTGTTGCATTGCTGTTGGTTGCTAAGCTACCCATTCAAGAGAAGTCATAATTGGTTTACGATGGTCTTAAGAAAGGGCACTCCCATGCATACGGCTCATGAGAATGCTGTTATAGAAATACAAACATGGCAAACAGTTGACTTTTCAAACCAAAACAACTTCAACCAACCAGTGACGATGATTTGGAGGTGATCTTGGTGTTGCTAGCGAAAATATTTCGTGCATATTTGATCCATTTTCATGAAATTATGCCTTATATTATACATTCTCTATGCATTGAATCATGCTGTTACTAGTTTGGAAATTCTAGAAGGATGTATTACAGTCTAGTACACCACGACAAATGTTCTTCCGATTACATTCAATCCCTCAACTCAATAAGGATTTCTCAATGAGACATCCAATAAGATAGTAAAGACAAAGAAATATTCTGTTGGAATTCTAAAAATTACATTGCATCTTATGAAAACCCTTATTAACCTTAAGATTGATTTTCAGAAAGCAACTCATGAGAGTCCAATTAAAACTTCTTGAGATAGAAAAAACATGCACGTACAATATTGTCAAGAAAGCACTTCCCAACATGATCATAGCACAAGACAAAAAGCATACTGCAAATAAGTTCGCTTTAGCAGGAAAGAAGTTGAGGATACTGACCACCAAAGAATATGAGAATGGCAACACAAGTGTACCTTTTGTACATGTGCAAGTAGACGAGTAAGGTTGCTTTTCAGACTACGAACGTGCTCCAGATTTTTAGTGCTAACATTCTTAGCTAACTCATCCAGAACAGGACGTGCTTCCCTCTCAAGATCAGCAACATTAGAATCAAAATAGGAACAAACAACCTCCAATGCAATCTCCAAGACTTGGAACTCAAAGGGAAGTTCACATTGTAGACCTTCAGAAGCCTCAGGAACAGGCAGCCAATGCCCAACAGTTGTTAAGGGCTCATCCTTCTCTTGGTCACACTCTTGGATCCTATATGGGCGTTTAAGAGGAAGTTGTTGTCTTAGTTGATCCACAAAAGGAAGAACTTCGTGGCATAAAGGGTCCAAAAGCAACATTTCCTCGGCAGTAACTATAGCCTTTATGAATACCAAATTGACAACCATGGCCTTATCTCTGGCTTCAAGTTGTACACCCAGAATGATATATAGTAAGCGAAAATGAATCTATATAAAACAAGCAGTGATTTGTTGACATTTAACAATAGAAAAAAAAAGCAGTGGTTAGTTGACATAAGTGCTAAGAGAAACTGAAAATGCTCAATTAAGATGGATTCATTTCATATTAATACAGTATTTTCACAACCTGCACACATCTTAATTTAATATAGTCAATAGTGAAAATCAACTAGAATATTCATAGTTCTCATACAAGCAATAATAAGCCCCCTAAATCAAAGTTTCTTTAGGAATTTAATATAGGCAAGTCAAAGAAAGATTCAGAACCCACTGGGCATTGCTACGCAGGGAATATATTTGGTTATAAGAAACCAGTACAGGAAAAGGTTTTTCTTTTGTGGATTAACAGGTACTAATTATATTATACTGGCCGATGATTACTCTGCATGTATCACTTAGGCATGAAACTAGTGAATAATGTTAACCCCATTGTAAAATGTCAGCAGTGTTTTAAAATGCGAAATGTGGCCCTGATGCGGTGGGGGGCCGATGCGGCTCGATGCGGCCCGGATGCGGGTGAATCACGATGATGCGATTAATAAATATTAAAAAAATTCTAAAATATCCAAAAAAATAAGTTAATGCATAGAAAAAAACTATGAAAGTGATATACGTGATAGTAATGATTAATTTCAAAACTATTAGCTGTCGGAGATTCTGTATTCAGTTATCCACTATCCCCTGATAGAAACTAGAAACTTGAAACCAGTTTCATAAAGCATTCAACAATCAACAACCATCAGCACATATTTGCACCATAAGCATAACTATAATAAAGCACAACCATCAACAACCATAAGTACAACTATAAGCACAAAATAATGATATTACAAAATACAAATCAAAGGTCGAGCTCAAGAAGAGTTAATAGTTAATAAATAATAACTTAATACAATCATCCATTTTGAGAGTAAATTTTGAAATTTGAACTTCATTTTTTCAAATAACAATCAGACAAGTCATCTTGAGAGTCGTCATGCGCATCATCAATATCATCCTCGACGGCCTCCATGTATTCTTCTTCATCGGTCTCCTCTGAGTCAGCTTCCTCCTCGACCTCTAAAGCTAATGTGCGAATGCGACTAGACCCAGCAGCTCCTCTGATCATTTGTGCTCTAGTGTTAGGTCGATCTTTTTCATTAGCCCCTGTTGCTAGCTCAACATCAAGCCATGTAAGATCCTCACCCTCAAACACACGCTCTTGTCTTGGATCCATGGTCCACTCACTTATGGAATCACCATCAGCTTCATATAATTGAATAGGGTTGAGCTTCGTGCGATTTTCATACCTCTCCCTAAGCCGCTCGTTATACCGCAGATAAACCAAATCATTCAACTTTTTCTGCTCCAACCTATTTCTTTTTTTTGTATGGAGCTATGGTAGAAATTTGAAATCAGATAATTAGATTTTAGATTAGAAAATTGAAATTCAAGAAATAAGGATTAAGGATTAAGGAATAAGGAGTAAAGGACTCACATGCTCAAATGCCCTCCAATTGCACTCACAACCAGATGAGCTACATGTGAGATTCAACACTCGAATAGTGAGACGTTGTTAGATTTGGTGTCTCACTTCCATATAATGCCTACCATGCAGCTGTATAATATTTTATAATTTAGAATATAGTTAAAAATGAATGGTATAAAATAAACAATGGAACTATACATAAAATAAGAGACAAGTAAGATTATTTTTGAGCTTTTGGCCTTGACCTAGATCTGTAGTGTCCCTATTTCGAGTGGCAATATCTCTTCCAAAGTTTTCCAAGGCTAACTTGAACTTAATCAATTCATGACTCTGGATCTCATCCTGGATATCTTTGTCTTGCACCAACCACTCCAGCACATCAAAGAACCCACCATTTATTACACAATCTGACTCAATGGATAGGTGCTTGCAGTGAAAAGATGGGTTTAAAAAATAATCGACTGAATGGAGGTGCCTGTGAAGCTGGGTCTCCCATCTCTTATCAATAACTTCAAGTACAACCTTGCGCATATTTTCATCATCCTTTAAAACATCTTTTATTTCAATTCTTGCCCTAGTCATTGCCTCATGTATGTAGCCCATGGCGGGCTTCGCATCACCATCAACCAGTCGAAACACTCTCACTAAAGGGCGAGCCACCTCCAATGCAATAATTATTTGACTCCAAAAAGATGTATTTAGAATAATTTTTTCAGCTTTTCTACCATCCTTATGCTTTAACATTTGCTTGACTCCATAGCTCTAAAACAAACATGGTCCTCAAGGCACTTTTTTGCTTGGCTAGGCTTCAAAGAGTGAAAAAGACGTGGCAAATCTAGTGATACCCGGTCTCATTAATTCTCTCTTCTTTGTAAAAGACCTCATCATGCTTAGGACTATGGTGTGATTGTAAATAAATCCAATAACAAACATAGCTCTTCAAAATCACCCCACTAAATAAAGATGTTATACCCATTTCCTTAAGCATAAGATTAACACAGTGAGCTGCACAAAGAGTCCAACATAAGCTTCCATTTCAAAGTCAAGAAATGCCCAGCTGCAACATAGTTGGCACCATTGTCAGCGAGAATTTGTACCACATTTTGCTCCCCAACAAAATCGACAATCTCATCCATCAAGCCAGATAAGTATGTACCATCATGTGACTTGTTTGATGCATCAATAAACTTAACAAAAAAAGTACATGTTGGGCAGTTAGCCAAAAAATTAATAAATGCCCTTGATTTCCCATCGGACCAACCATCACACATAATAGTGGCCCCATATTTCTCCCACCCTTCTCTCTGAAAAATCAAAATTTTATTCACATCAAATACAACCTAACCTTATGTAGTGAAAGAGGAATAAGTCCTGGGCCATATTGCCCAATTGCCTGGACCATACATGCAAAACTATCCAGAGATATAGTATTAAAAGGAATGTCGGCCATGTAAATCCACTTTGCAATCCACTTACATACCGACTTCCTTTGTTCTTTCTTATATTTATTGTCAATTGTGGTTTGTTTTGTTTTTTTCTTTCTTTCCTGAATCACAATTTCGAGGCTAGAGGTGAAAAAAGAATCCATTGGACCCTTAGAGAGAGGTGTTCTTCTCTCAGCACTACCACCAATATTTATAACCCTCTCTCTTGAGGTTGGAGTATGAGTACGCCTTTGCCTCATAGCAACTTCAGACATATCGTCATCATCATCATCAACATCTTCAAATAATTGCATATCATCAAGTAATTCCTTTCTTTTCTTTTCTTTTTTCTCTTTATCTTTTTTCAATCTATCCAAATATTTTCCAATCTCCTTGTTTACATCATCTGTAGCTTGTGAGCATGCCCTTACATTCCCAGAAATTCCGGCTAAATGCTCTTTTTGTCGAAAAATACCACCCATATAAGTATTTCCACAGAGCAAACATATCTTTCGGATTTTTTAGTTTAGCATATTCCCAAACCGGATCCTTGTTACTAGAAGAGTGGGAAGAAGACATTGCTCCAAAAATAAGTATAACAGTATTATTGTACAAGAAGGAATAAAAAGTTATCGACTTTGTGAAGTAGTGCTCGATTTCTTCACAGCCTCTGAAATCCCCAATTTCTTATCACAAATTCACCTTAACATCCCCAATCAACAATCAAAGGCATCAAATGAACATCCAAGTATCAAACAACCGCCAAATCATAGATTTGGATGAAAAAAATATATATATTTTTTCCCCTCGATTTGATGCAAAAAAAGCCACAAAAGTTGCTGTAAATCTTCGTTTAGGGGGTATAATAACCCCCCCAAACAGTTTCCCTAAACTTTGGAACTACAAAAAGACCATTTTGCCCCTCCCCGAGGGGCAAAATCGAAAAAAAATTCCACAGAAACAAATGCGGTGCTATGCGGTCTGATGCGGCCATAATGCGGGATGCAGCCATGATGCGGCCTGATGCGGTGCATATGCGGCTGCATCTGTCAAAAGCGCATATGCGGCTGCATCTGTCAAAAGCGCATATGCGCCTGTTCACGATGACCCGCATGATGCGGCCGCATTTTAAAACACTGAATGTCAGTACAACCGCACTTGAATTGCTTGACTCAAGTTGAGTCACAGGCAGGTAACATGAGAATAGGCAGCTCAAACTTCTCCCAATCTGATGAGTTTCTAACCATTGTACTCATTAATTTTAAATGTGCAGATCCATTTGGAGCCAACATGTGGACAAATGAGGCCTATATTAGGAAGTAGAATGATGAACCTATGTTTGATGTGTACAACTTCAGGTTTTGTAGTTTTGGATGTTGTGATACTTGTATATACACAACATGTGCAACTAAGATGCATGTGTCTGAACCAGCATAAAATCAACACTTCAGACTTATCAGTTGACGCTTCTAGGAAGTCTCACCAGGCATGTCTTGATCTCTTTTTTATGCTAGTCTAAGAGGTTATGTTGTCTGCGCCAAATGTCCAAACTCCACATGAATTTGTTTCCATAAATTTGGGCACGCATGTTTGTTAGTTGGACAAACATCCCTGCATTGTACATGTCCACACCAAACTCTTGCAATCCTTCCATTCATGTACCAAATCATGTTTTTCTATAGTATGAAAATCAATAAATTAGTTATTATTATGGATTCTATACAAAAAATTAAAAGAAAAGATTGTACAAGTAGTTAAAATAAAGCAAACTAATATGTAAGAGATGAAAGAGTATAGGAGAGATTCAGTTATAGAAAGAAACAACGTTAGAAAGAGGTGTGAGAGAGAGTCACGTAAAGACGAAGAGGAGAGAAGGGCCTCAGTTCAGTCTATAGTTGTTGGAAACGCCTGGGCCTCAGTTCAGTCTATAGTTGTTGGAAACGCCTGTGATTCCGAACCATTTCAAGGATGGAAATCACGGAATCGCAGGTGTCAGATGATTCCTATAGTTGGAATTGTCGTATGTACAATGCAAATCACCTGTTGCGTGATTCCAACTATATCGAAATCGCAATACAATAAAACAGGAATCATGTGCCCTATCTTGTTGGATTGGTATCACATCAATTTGGAGTCAAGTTTCATACCTTTCTAGAATCGCACATTAATGCACTCCAATCAATGCCATCCAGAATCACAATCTAACAGAATAGGAGTTGTGACTCCTATATTGCTAGAATTATTGTCCCATCAATTTGGAATTGATATTCTTACCTTTCAGAAATCATTCACCAATCCAGTCGGGGCCATGCTAGAAGTTTTAGGCGAGAAAAGATTTAAAGTTTTATATTATTCATTAGCTTGAATTCTGAACTCCATATATTGTGTTTGATTATCCAGGGCTCCCATATTATTCGGATCAATGCCTTTGACAGCCATTCCCTAACAATGGTCTCAATTGTATTTGGTGCCCATAAGTAGCTCGCGACAACTAATAAAAACAAGGGCAAGCTCCCTTAGGTATCTACTTGGAGTTTGTAGAACTCCATGAAAACAATACGCCGTTTATGCATCTCATGCTTACTTTGAGAACAAAACAAGGAATTGCATCTTCTAACTAGGAAAGAGTTTGCGAGATGTGCAACTCGAGCGCTTATAGCACCGGATGCTTCAATGCTTCATCGAAAATCCAAGGTCTCAAAAGTGAGAAACCAAACCAATATGTTGTTTGTCTTTTTCATGCATATTTTGATGATGAAAGAAAGATATATGTATCTTCTCACTCAAAAACGAGTCTCTATGATGCGGACCCCGAGCTCGAGCTCCTAGAGAGCCATTAACTAGGACACTTTACTGAAAACCCCTTTCAACATTGGGGTCTATCAGAAGTGAGAAACAATTTCTAATTTCGTGAGGACGATGAACTGGTTTAGTATTTATCATTGATACATGCAAGGCTCAATTTGAAAGTTGAAGATTCTGGTTGACACTTACCATCAAAAGACATTCTATCATGCTTTGGTAATAAATCAATAAATCTAGCAATTTGCATTTGAATCTTGATATTGTGTTATTAGAACTTCCACTCCATGTTAATTGAAACATTGTTCGATGCATCTATAAAACCTGGGTTTTGGTGTTGTGGATCTAGCTTCCAGAAAACATCGATCGTCGTTCCTAACACTAGGATCAAGTTCTCATATACGTTGAATCCTTGTCACGTACACCTATGATCTGCAAATTTGTAAGATGGAATCTAGATTTCCAATTTTTAAGAATTGGGAGTCGAAAAAAATATAGGAAATGAGATTCACGAAATTTGGAATTGATTCTTATCTTTTGAGAATTGTGATTCATCCTAACAAACATGGAATTAGATATTCCTAACCAAAATCGTGATTCCAAACAAGAAGCCCGACCTCGGCATACAATTTGGGTAGCAATAGTTCAGCCGATCAGATCCGCACGCCCCACTTATGTTCTTTTTGAAAGTAGGACTATGTAACCCTGGCAAGTATAAATCGACAAAAAATTGTCTTTCTTTTTCTTTATTTTACCACCTGGATCAATTACATGTGTCCAAATACAATATATGAACCAATAAAACCACAAACCAAAGACTCTCACTCTCTTGCCATCAAAACAATTCACTCAAAACACAAATATGAAAAATTACAAGCATGAAATAAAACAACACTACATACATTGCGTCAGGTTACCCCCAAGGACTTCATACATCCCACACCAGGTCTCCTCCACCAATGGCACACGAGATCAAGGTCTAATCTCGTCTCATAACTCAAGAAGCCTAGGCAAACCTCTTGAGAACGTGACATGGGATAGCACTTTGATCAAGGCTCAATACAAACTCAAAACTCAATGCACATAGCTTAAGGTGTGCCACCCTTGTGGCTTGGTGTGCCTGCCTATAGAGCTTATAGAGAGAGAGAGAGAGGCCAATCCAAGGTGTAGAGAATTGATCCCCCATTGAGAGTATTTATAGAATATAGGCTATGGTTTTGGGGTTTTGGGTTTTGTCATCATTATGATACTCAATCTTGAACTTTGATCATGGAGACATGTCGAGTGAAGAGATCTCAACCCTTCATTCCTTAAATCAACCATCATGATTAAAACGAATGAGGTGGAACCATTAGTCCTTAGTTTTTACAATTATATTCCCATCAAATAATTGTGTAGAGAAAATACTATGTTTTTGCAAATTTAATTTCAATCAATCTCTACACTTCTCAAATGAAACAATCAAATGCATCTCACAAGACTTTCCCTTACTTTACAACAAGTGGGTGGCTTTCATTACATGATTAAAAGGAATGAGGTGGAACCATTATTCTTCAGTTTCCATAATTCTATTCCCATCAAATAATTGTGTAGAGAAAATACTATATTTTTGTAAATCTAATTTCAATCAATCTCTACACTTCTTAATTGAAAACAATCAAATGCATCTCATAAGACTTTCCCTTACTTTACAACAAGTGGGTGGCTGTCATTACAAGCCCCATTCTAGCACGATACCATATGGGTCCTTCCAATACAATCTAGTATTGCAGGGAGTCATCTCTTCGACTTGTGCACACAACACACACCCTCATCCAGAGGGCTACTTACCAAACAGCTATCTAATGTACCTGCCATGCGATAGTAATGATGAGGATTTTAGCCCTTGTCCTCTCTGGCCAACCACCCTGGGCACAACTCTAACCTCATCAAGGGATAACCCTACATTGCAACGCTTGTCGGTTGTACACAAATACCCAGGGTTACGGGTTTTAGACATCAACCTGAGCCATAGCTAGTCAAAGCTCAAGAGAGTCAAGGATTAGCAATGCCTGATAGTCTAATCTGGACCACACTCCCACTAAAACCAGTATATTGCTCTCATAAGGCCTTTAAATGACCACACAACCCCAACACTTTTATGCTACTAATAAAAGGTCTAAAGTACAAAAATGCCCAAAGACAAATAAGTCCTCAGGGACTTAAACACAAGAAGGATACATATAAACTCAGGTACTTACAACACTACCTCTCAAGCTCAGCTTACTTAAGATCATTTGTAGTCAAGTTATACCAAAAAGCTTGGTAGGAATGTCTGCTAGCTAGTCTTTAACATATGGAAGACAAATTTCCTTGGTAACAACCCTTTCTCAAATAAAATGCCAATATACTTCCATATGCTTAGATCTATCATGCTTAAGTGGTACTTACAACACTACCTCTCAAGCTCAGCTTACTTAAGATCATTTGTAGTCAAGGTATACCAAAAAGCTTGGTAGGAATGTCTGCTAGCTAGTCTTTAACATATGGAAGACAAATTTCCTTGGTAGCAACCCTTTCTCAAATAAAATGCCAATATACTTCCATATGCTTAGATCTATCATGCTTAAGTGGATTATGAGCTATAAAAATTGTTGTCTTATTATCAAAGTAAGTACAAGAACATTGACCTTTTCACAGAAAAACCAAGTTCTAATAGAAGGCTCTTTAGCCAGAGCAATTTACATGCACCATGAGTCATGGACCTATACTCAACTTCTGCACCTGATCTTGATCTAATTCACTGCTTTTTACTCCTCCAAATAACAAGGTACCCCCCCCACAGAAGTGCATACCCTCCAAAAAAAAAAAAGTACAAGGCGCCAACGGGTGCCTAGGAGCAAGGACGCCCTTTGGCTTCCAGAGGGCCAAATTTTCGAACAATGATAACTGTAAACTATCTTCCAATCACTAGTAACAAAGAAATAAAACACCACCCAAAAAACGGTCACTCCAAAAAAAAAATTTGAAATCACGTCTAAAAATCTTCTGTTGCCTTTTAAATGATTATCTAGGATTAATCATCATAAAACATAAAAGAAAGGAGAGAAAAAAAAATCTTAATGGGAGGAGATTGCTAAATCTTCTCATAAATCATAATAACCTAAGATGAAAAATAATTGAATTTGAGTTAATCAAAAAATAACAATGGGTATTTTACGCCAGAGAGAGAGATCAAACAAATTCTGTCAAAGGTGAAAGACACCACTTCTAGGAGAGATGGTATCGAGATAGAATTGAGGATACCTAAGATGTTAGAAGAATTGGAGAATACGGGGCCGAGAATCCGAAGATCACGTGCAGGTATGGAGACACGCTTCATGATGGCGTTCTTATCCCATTCCACCACCTCTGAACTCCCATGTCTATCTACCCTCATCCATAGCCTTGCTCCTCCTCCCTTCTTCTTCCCACCCTTACTATTGCCATTGTTGATACTACCATTGCCATTATTACCATTGGTATTGTTTATTCCACTACTAAATTGGATCCCCAAAGCAGAAGCGGTTGTGGTGGTGGGTGATGAAATCTGAAGCCGTAAATCTCCCATCTCCGCCTTCTCTTGAGAAAAATAGGGTTTTTGAGGAGCCATTTATCCTCCTCCTCCTCCTCCTCCTATTTCTCCTCTTCCTCACCTTCATAAGCAGTGGATTTTCAGAATTTTTGTGGTAGACAAGATCGTATTTCTTTCTGCAAATGATCCTCAACCCTGCTTCATCCGCAGAGCGTGTATCTTACGGGAAGGGGGAGAGAGTGTGCATGTACTTTACGGAAAATTGTTTCATGCGGTCCAACTTCTACAATATGCGGTCCAAAAGGTGTAAAGGTGATCCATCTAAACCACAATTGTAACTAAGGGTGCGGTTTGTATAGAGCCCGGGTTCTAAACCATCAAATTATAGTCTACCTTCAAATGGTGTCGAATTATATAATTTTTGTCATAGCCTTAAAATATATTTTTATTTTTATTTATAAGGTTTAAAGCTTAAAAGACAGTGGAGATCGTTAGATTTATGAAAACTTGAAAATTTTGAAAATTGACTGTCCAAAATGCCTTACAAAATATCTTATTTCCAAAAATTGAATTTATTTTATTTTATTTTTTCATGTCTATGCATTTTAATATTGAGATGATCAATTTGAGGATATTTGGGTATGAAAACAACCTCTTCTAGTTAAATTTTTGAGGTAGGGTCAAATTTGATTGTTTAAAGCCTAAGCTCTATATAAACTTCCCCCCTGTAACTAATGGTTTAAATATTTTTTTAATATAATTATTATTTTTATTTTAAAAAAAATACAATTGTAACTAAAGGTTCAAATATTGTTTTAATATATTATTATTTCTAGTTTTTTTAAAAAAAAATCTTTCACATTCATTATCTCCATGTTAAAGATTATATATTCTTTAAAAATTAAGATCAAATTCTATTTAAAAAATATATTTATTGTCAAGCCCGCATTTCTGTAATATACGAGCTGGCGGCATAAAAATTGTGTCCATATTTTAGGGGAAGAAAGGGAAGAGAGAGCCAGAAAGTACGTATATATTTTAGGGGCAAAAAATAAGAGAGCAATCTCCTAACTTACCATATTTTATTATTATCTAAACAAAACATATTATAATAAGAGAGAGAAAAAGATATATCAACAATATCCTAACTGCATAAATAATTCTAAAGGGAAGAGACTCAAGAGAGAAAGATAGGGAGAAAGAGAGCAATTTCCTAAGTGACCATGTTCTATCATTATCTAATTAGAGAGATAATTCTAAAACAAGAGAGAAAGAGAGAGTGCGGATGTATATACTCTAGAAAGAGAGCAAATATATATATTATATTTTTAGGGGAAGAGAGACAAATAGCAACCTTTTAAAATTGCTGCATGTCATATTCTATATCTTAAATGAGTGAGTGAGTACTTATATACTTTACAAGGAAAGAGAGATTCTATATTCTAATAAGAGAGATATATCAAAATCAATCAAGAGTAGGACCACATTCTATCATTATCTAAAGAAAAAAGTTTATATAAAGATGCTACCTTATAATGTAGTTTGTCTTAAATGAGAGAGGGAGTACTTTTATATTTTATAGGGAGAGAGATTCTATATCCTAATAAGAGAGATATATCAAAATCAGTCAAGAGTGAGACCCCGTTCTATCATTATCTAAAGGAAAAAGTTTATATAACAATACTACCTTATAATGTACAACTATAGATGCTTCTAAAAAAATTCATCAGAAAAGGTAGTTTTAGTGTTGAAAAACCCTTTTGAATGATCATCTCGACATCGAGATGTATGACTATGAAAAAAAAAAAATTAAGTCTAAGAAATAGTGCATTTTACAACATATTATTTACACCGACCATTTTTAAGATTTTCATATGCTTATAGATTTACTTGATTTTAACCATTTTTGAAATTTAAAATTTTATAATTAGATATAAAAATAGATTTTGAAATAATCCAAAAAATATTTTACGTCAAAATTATATACCATGATAAAATTCGAAGGTGCACCTTACCTCTACACCTACGGCTGCATCCGCATGCAAACTGCACCCATATCTAAACCATAGTTTTCGAACTCAAGCGAGTCGACTTGGCCTTGGCAGTAAGGCGAGGCAAAGAGCACCGAGTCAATGGTACAGTACCTAATGGTCGATTGAGTGAACAAGAATAGCTGAAAAAATGGAGGACTCCGATCAAAAAACATGAAACTCACCCGATTTTTTGCTATTGGCGAATAAAACTCGTTTTTCATGATATGGAAATTTTGTAAACTGAAAATCTAAAATTTGGGAGTTATTTTGATCGATTTTTTGAACTTTTCCGTGATTTTAACAGTAATATTATCTTTATGATAAGATTTGGGTTCATCAAATCCCAAATTGAACAACAATTTATCACAAAATTATCCGATTTTTAGTGTCCTCCATACATCAAAAAAATCTGCCAATCTCTTTCGTTCGCTCTTATTTTATTATTAAATTGATTGATTATGGGTTATTTTTCAATATATTGAAGTTATCTACGGAAGTCCTCAACTGATTCTCGTGTTTATCTAGTTTAATCACATTAAATTTACGGTTTTAAGTTTTTATACGTGATTTTTTTTCCTCATTGTTCTTGCTGATTTCTACACCAAATCGGAATATTTTTTACTTGTTTTGAAGCTTTGAAATCAGCTTCAAGAGTCCTATATATATCAGTGTTTTCTTTTGCTATTTTCAATTGATTTCGTGCATCAAAGAGCTAACATCGTTAGTCTATGAAACAATAGCCAATTTTATTATTTATCTCTAATTACTCCATAGTTTTTATGATTTTTAGTTTATTTTGAAGCTTTTGAAATCATCTTCAAAAGTCCTACATAGATTCGTGGTTTTTTATATCCAATATTACCTGATTTTGTGCATAATAGAGCTAATATCAATGAACAACTAAAAAATGTAAAATCTAGTATTTTCCTTTAATTTATCAACAATAATGTTTTGATTATTATTATTATTATAAGATATTGAAATAACTTGAAAGACCCTATATTGCTTTGTGTTTTTTTGCTTCAATATCGATTGATTTATTGCGTCATAGAGGTAATATCATAGTCATATTTAATTAATTCCAAAAATAAATGCCACTTTTGCTAGATTGCGCTTGCATTTTTATCTCTTTTGGGGTTTTCAGATATGTGAGTTTTTTTTTTTTTTTTTCTCTATAAGTTATAAAAAAAGAGCTCCAAAAAAAGTAGTAACTATGAAAAAATGACTGGTCATTTTTTTAGAATTCACGATATGTAATAAGTTTTTTTTTAAGAGTTAAGATAAAAAGAGTTCCAAAAAACAAATGTAGCCCCGTCCCCCAATCGAACTCAAGACCTCTTATAGACTCAGGCAACATAAATTTTTTTTTAAGAGAGTTATAGAAAAAATAGCTCCAAGATAAATCCAAGCTATTAAGAAATATAGAGTTAAAAAATATATTTTTCAATAGAGTTATCAAAAAAAGTACTCCAAAATAACGCCAAGTCCTTGATAAGGACCAAGGGTACTAACCAATTTGCCACACATAACCGTAGTAACAATGGTGGTCGGCATTTTATATAGAGCTAGTCTTTATTTGCTCTAAAAAACAAAATAACCGTAGTAACATTGGTGGCCTGCATTTTATATAGAGCTAGTATTTATTTGCTATAAAGACATGCTAGTCTTTATTTGCTCTAAAAAAAAAAAAACCATTAGTAGTCTTTAATTGCTCTAAAGAAAAAAAATAGTAACAATGGTGGCCTGCATTTTATATAGAAAAAAAAAAAAGAAAAACCATAGTAACAATGGTGGCCTGTATTTTATGTGTAGAGCTAGTCTTTATTTGCTATAAAGACAAAAAAAAATAACCATAGTAACAACGGTGGCCTGCATGTTATGTCAACGCAAAAAAAAAAAAAAAACCGTAGTAACAATGATGGCCTGCATTTTATGTGTAGAGCTAGTCTTTATTTGTTATAAAGATAAAATTTAGTTTGAGGGGATTGGATCCCGTGGGCTGCATTTTATGTAGAGCTAGTCTTTATTTGCTATAAAGACAACAATGGTTTGGGGAGATTGGATCCTATGGCCTGCATTTTATGTAGAGCTAGTCTTTATTTGTTATGACCTAGTCTTTATTTGCTCTAAAGACAAAAATGGTTTGAGGGATTGGATCTCATGACTTGCATTTTATGTAGAGCTAGTCTTTATTTGCTATAAAGACAAAAATGGTTTGAGGGGATTGGATCATGTGGCGTGCATTTTATGTAAAGCTAATCTTTGTAGAGCTAGTCTTTATTTTGCTATAAAGACAAAAAATGGTTTGGGGGGATTGGATCTTGTGGCCTCCATTTTATGTAGAGCTAGTCTTATTTGCTATAAAGCCAACGCGCAATTAATGAATAATGTCTGCTGCTCATTTTAAAAAGAGCTTGACTCGGCTTAGGAACTCGGATATAGCCAAGTACATTACCTCGGCCCAAGCTTGAGTACCTTGGCCGAGTCGATGTTTTAAAGCTTGATCTAAACATATATATATAGACTATAGTGGATCAAATAGGTATTCTTATTTAACCGGAGCCTCTATCAGTTTGGAAATCAAACACAGAGTTTCTTCTTGAGGTAATGGTTACTTTAAGATTTTGTGTAAGGTAGATAGGTAGGATAGGTTGATGTGATTTATGTATTTTGAGATTTATTTTTGGTGGGTATTTTCTTTTTAGATGAATCGTATTCATTGCTGATTTTGTGTGAGGTAGATAGGCAGGATGGGTTGATGTGATTTATGTATTTTGGTATATAGGGAGGATGGGTTGATGTGATTTATGTATTTTTGAGATTTATTTTTGGTGGGTTTTTTTATTTTTAGTTGAATCGTATTCATTGTTGGGTCAATGTCTGTAACCAACCATTATAGATGATGTAATGCATTTGTAGATTTTTAATATATATATATATATATATATATATATATATTCACTGGATTCGAATTTATAGTGGTGTAAATCTTTCTGTAAGAACCTTTGTGGTTTTTTAATATATTTTATTTGATTATTCACGAATTTATCGTTGTATAAAACTTTCTGTAAGAACCTTTGTGGTTTTTTAATATATTTTATTTGATGTTTCACTAGATTCAAATTTATAGCTGTGTAAATCTAAATGTAAGAATCTTCATTTTTTATTGATTAGTAAAGAATTTGGGATGAAATTAACTGATGTGGAAGGATGTTGCCAAATATACGAGGGGAGGAGCTGTAAAGAAAAAAAAAGTGTCCATCCTGATT